AAAAAAAGAACGAACAAAAGAAAACAGAAAAAAAGTTGTTTAATGGATAATTTTTGAAATTTCGATGAAAAGTTTTCTTTTTTTCTTTTAATTTTTATTAATTATAATAGCATTATTATGATAAAAATTACAATAACTTAGTGAAATTTAAAGATTGTTTAAATTAATGAAATAAGCAATTAGTACAGCAAAAATCAATGCTGATTTCTAAATGAATCATTATATTTATCAATCATTTCGATCAATGATTTTATTTTTTTTAAGAATTATTTAAAATATTTGTTATTTCAATCAATAATTCTTTTTTTTTTTAAGTAGTTATTTAAAAAATATTTGTTATTTTTTTCATCAATAAATTATCATTCGTTAATTTGAATTTTTCTTTTTTGGATATATTTGATAGTATTACGAGTATATATATATATAGCTTATCTTTAACTTATTATGAGAACTGTCACTAAATTTTAATCTATTTATGTTGTATAATTTGAATTTAATTATAATATCAATTAGCGTATAAATGTTATCATTCGCTAATTTGAATTATCATTATCATATTCGAATATATCTAATAGTGTAAGAAGTAAAAATGTATGAATTAACTATATTATAATTATAATCTGTACTTATTAAACTAGTAATTGTAAAAAACTGAACTGAAAGATCATACTAAATGCTTATATAATAAAAATTAATGTTAGAATATATTTCTCTCGATAGATCTATTCGAATTCATTATTTTATTAATTTAACATATGCAAATTTTGGCGCCTCTTCTTTTAAATTAATTTAACATTTACCAATTTAGCACTTTCATTTTTAAATTAATTCAACATTTTCAAATATTGAATTACATTTTCAGGCAGCCCAATGTGCAGGATTCCTTCTTTTGGCTATTTATACATTATATTATACAATAACATATAAAAATCAAACATTCAATAGGAAATTTGGTTAGTTTTAAAAAATATTTTCGCATTTTTTTCTTTGCTTTATTAATTTCAAAATTTTTTTATTGTATAATAATTATGAAATATTAACTTAAATTGTGGCGGAAATATTGCAAGTATTTCAGCAATTAAATTAAATCACTGAAATGAGTAATTGAAATGATTGAAATTGAATTATTATTGAAATGCATTAAATTGTTAAAACGTGTGTTTTATTTGTTAAAATGCGTGCTTTATCGGAAATATATGATATTTTTAAAAAAAAAGAAATTGAAATTAATTAACCGAACAACTCTTTCTGTCTTTCTTTCTTCACCACTTCTATCATTAATTTAAATAGTTAATTAATTAGGGATAATTTATAAATTTTTACTTACATAAATAATTAATAATTTCTCAAATTACTATTTTGCACATTAGGAATAATTTCATTGTTTTGTAATTTTGTTATTATTTCTCTATGCAAATTGTGATTTTTTTATCATTTGGCTTTTTTTTTTATTCCCTTTAATTATTATCATCATCATTATTATTGTTATTATTATTGCTAGTATTATCAATACCACTTTTATTAACAATTTTATTATTATTGCTATTATTATTATCAGTTACTATTATCATTTTTATCGATACTATTTTCCTTCAACCTCAAAATATTTTATTTGTGAATTGATTATCGATCATATATGATAATCTAATAATTTTCTTTCAAAAAAGAAAATAATATTAGGTAAATATTGATGATTCTTTTTTTTTTGTCCGTCTCTTTTTTTTCCGCATTTTTTTTTACAAAATTTTACAAAAAAAAAAAAGAAAGAAAGAAAAATGAATTTTAACATCAAAATTTAATTTTAGATCAAGTATTAATGACTGTTAGCATATTTATTGGTATAATAATTTCCACTTGGTCATGGATTGTTACAGCAAAATGTCACAATTATCTGAAGCAACAAAATAATAATTCCAATGGAGCGGTAAAGGAACGATGCCTTTGGCGGTGATTGTTAATAATTATTTGATAACTGCAAGAATTATAAATCATTCTTGTATTTTTCAAGAAAAAATCTTTTTTTTTTCCTCTTATAGTTTATCAGAAAATATTTTGTTTTTGTTTTCTTCTTTTGGATTTTTAGCAAATAAATTTCATATTAAAATAAAAACAAAAAACGAAAACAAAAACAAAGCATAGAAGTTGCGAATATTTTATAAAAAATTAAAACTTACAATTATCACGTTACACGTACGTATATTTTGTTTTCTTACGTCATGTATATACATTGCTTAATAAATGTAAAAAAAAAAAAGTATAACACTTATTTCAAGATTCCATTACATTTTTAAAATTTTTCCTATTTTGTTTTTATCGTTGTTTTCTTTTCTTTTCTTTTTCTTGTCTTCAATTTGTTTATAACATTTTAATTATACTGAAATTTGTTTTCATTACTTAAATTTGTACTTAAATTTGTTTTCATTATTTGACAATTAAATATATTATACTTTTAATATTTGATAATTTAGTGTATTATATGAATATAATTGAATTGGAACAAAAACTTTTGCGTTCATCTAAACGAGAAAGGAAAAAAAGGAAAACATTTTATCAAATTTCTTTTTTTTTTTCCAAAAAATATATGGTAAATGATTTGATCATTTAAATTATATTTCATTTATTTTGATCGCTTTGTTTCTGTCATTTTTTTTTTTTTAAATGAATATTTTGAATTCAATGTTACATTTAGACATGACAGTCGCCTTTTTTTTTAAAAGTTTTGAAAGAAAAATAAAAGTTGAAATAATAATATTTGCACGTTTCAATCATCTTTTCCGTCTAATAAAATAAAAATAACTTCAAAGGATTTCAAAGTTTCAAAGTTAATTTTTTTTTCATTCTTTTTTCTTTTTTCAAATGGAGTCGAAAAGATTGTGGATTATTCAAGTATTTGATCTATGCCCATTTATCTGTCAGTGATTGCTTTCGTTATCTTCTATCATTTATCGTTATCTGTTATCATTGTATTAAAAAGAAAGGAAAAAGGAAAGGGACTTAACCGAACAAAAATTTTTAGAATTAAAAATTGAAAATTTCTAAAAATTTCTTTTCCTTTTTTTTTGAGATTACATCATTAAAGAAATATTTTTCATTTAATCAATTGTAATTTTACATTCTGTGGAAAATTTAACTGATATGATTAATGATAAAATCAGGTACAATAGCATGATAATTCAATAAATACGATCATATTATTACAAATTATCATAAGTTATTAAATGTCAAAAATCACATCGTTGACTTGTAAAACGTTAATAACTACTAACTATTCTATCCTTTTTTTTTTCATAGTAAAAGCTAATTTGATAAATTTTATTTTAAAAGGTAAGGAATTTACATTTAAAATTTTAATAGATTTGAAATTTAGCAAAATTTTATCACAAAATTACATTTTTTACATAATCTTTTTTTTTGCTTAATTTTGATTTTAATGAAATTTATTTGCAATAAACGAAACATTTTTGTGCAGCACATTTTTTTTTTTTTTTTTGATTTTGATTTTTATTTTCAAATTTTTGTAACCAATAATGAAATGATAGGAATATAATACAAATATCAATGAGATGTAATAAACATTAAACATAATGAATTATTACTTAATTAAAAATTAAGAGCATTAAATTATTTAAGTTCACTAAAAATTTAACGACATATACCAGTATAACTTTGAAAATTTTTGCAATATATTAAAATATGCTATAATGGCAGTTTCAGTTTAATTTTTTAAAATTTGCATAAAAAATTAATTCAACAAATCCCCAAAATTATTTTTAATAAGTTTTTTGCAATGAAATAATTTTTCGTTTTTTTCGCATTATTTTCAAAAAAATCTTTTGTTTTTTGCCATTCTTCGTATTTTTTATGATTAACGAAGAAAGAAAATCTTTAATTAAGCAATTAACAAAGTGATAAATGAAATAAACTAAAATATTTTTCATTACAACAAAAATTCATTTCCAGTATTTGCTAAATTTTTTGTCAAATTTAAATATATCAGATGTTATTTCAAAATATCAGTTGCATTGATTATAAATTGATCAACAGTGAAAGAATTTTATTTCAAACTTTAGTCTCTCCGCTAATTACTATTTTATTGCATAATTTACTATATAGCTAATTAAAAAGTAAAATATACATAAATCAATTAATTTTGCTTAAATTTTGATCTATTCATTTTTAACGCAAAAAAAAACCTAACAAATGTTATAATGTTTCACACTTAATGAATAAAATAAATGCAAATTAAGTGATAATTTTGCATAATCAATAAAATTATCATCTTTATCATATACAAATATCAACAACAAATTTAATGATAAAATATTGATAAGTTTCATGTCGGAAACGTGCGGTTGCTTAAGACAGAATGAAATTATATTTGCTAATTATTTTAATGTTAGCTTATTTATCTTTCGTAATCACCATTAATGATACATTGAAACGGAGTAATCGTAATAAAAATGTTAGTTTCCTTTTCAAAAAAAAAAAAAAGAATTATAATTTTAATTAGAAAAATTTAGTAAAAAGGGTGACGATTTTAAATTAAATTAAACTAAATGTATTTTACTTATTAGTATATTTTCTTTCAAATTAAACAAGCATACATTATTATTTCTTTTGTTTTTACTAATAATTTATAAAAAAAAAAAGGAAGAGAATAGAATTTATGATTAAGTTTTAATAATTATAAAAAGCTCAAAAGGAATAGGATTAATAGCTGTCGTATAAAGTATGGAAAAAAATTTTAAAAATAAAAATAAATTTTAAAAGAAGTTGAAAATTCTATAACTCATATAATTTAAACAGCTGAAAGAAAAGTTATTAATTGATTATATTTGATGAAATTTTAACGATTTAACTCTTAATGTTATATATTTTGCATGACTTGACTCTAAGAATTTACCTTCAAATAATTTATTTTTAATTTCTTAAAAATATCAATGCATAATTTGATTTAAAATATTTATCATTACAAAAGTTTTAGCTTTTCGAAATTTTCTGCTGAAAATAAATTTTTCAAATTTTTAGACTTTTTTCAATTTTTCAAAATTTACTTATAGATTTTAAGCTCAAATTACAAGTTGTTTGAAACTTTTTAGAAAAAGCTCTTTTTTTTAATGGAAATTAAAGAGAATTTCAGAATCTTGTGAAATGTAAAGAATTTTTCAAAGAGAAGAAAATAAATTTCTTTTCTTTCATCCCAATTTTAAAACTTTTTTTTTTTAACTCTAAAATCATTTTGAGACATAATTTGTTGCTAGTGAGTAATTTCAAATACTCTGATCCTATAAATTGACATTAGTGTATGTCAAATGATTGGACAATAACATTGTCATTCGATAAATTATGATAAAGTTTTCTGGATGATATTTCCAGGTGACCAAAATTTAAGATGTCAAATGATCATCGTTATGTTTGAAATTATTTTATTGAATGGTTAAATTTAGGGAGATTATATTTAATGATTGGTAAAATGATAAAAGTGATTAATGATAAGAGATATCTTGAAATTTAGTGTGCTCATTAAATTTTACTCATAACAATAACCGATCTTGCATTCTATGAGTGAAAATTCTAGCAATTTTAGTAGTAATCGTGTTGATAGCAAAAAGCAAATTGACTTGAACTTATTCCGGTTTCGTCAACATTTCTGTAATCAGGAAAGATAATGAACTGAACTAAAGCAAATCGGAAACATCCGGAAGGGAAACATATATTTATCATATTAATGATAGGGAAATGATTTTTTTTTCTTTTCCAAAACTTTTAGATTAAATTTTTCGGTCAGTTCTTTTGCTATAACACTAGCAAAAATTAAATAAGGGGAACCGGTTTTGCTCTAATCGGTTGTTTGGTACCAGATACTGATATGCTCCTGTTTTCTTTTCATTGGCTGACTTCCGTATCCTTCTGATTATGCCTCAAATCATTCACCTTTAATTAGTTATTCACGTAAATCATCTGGTAATAATAATTCATTTAAACAATCAACATTGGATTAATGGTGATAAAGAAGTCAACTAATTATTATTTAAAATTTAATTAGTTTTGTCTTCTTGAAATTTTTTCCTTTTTTTTTTTTCATCCATCAGATAACATTGTACTAAATTTACAATTCAATGTCTTTTGATGATCTTTTTTTAAAATCTTGATAATTTTTATAAATTATGTTAATTTTATTCATTCCTAATTTATCCATTTTTCTTTCTCAAGAATATAAGCGTAATTCAAAAGAAGAAATTTTAAATATAAAAACTGAAATTCAAATATAAATTTAACAAAATTTGTAAAGTTAAGAAATAATTATTTTTCTGAAATATTTTAATTTTTAGTATAATGATGTCTGCCGACGACGATTATTCAAAACCGATGATAAAATATTTACATTAATAGCATTTCCAAGTTTATTTCTTTCACTTTTTCTTATCATCGCATCATCATATTTGTTAGCTATCACGGTGACAGAAGTAATTTAGTGATAATTTCGTTCATCATTTTTCAATTTCTTTATAATTACTACAATACTTATAAAACACTTTTTATATTATTACAATACAATACCTAATTATTTAAAATATTTCCATTTCTTTTTTTCTTATTAACTCGATTGATTTTAAATTTTGATTCAAATTTTTTAAAAAGAATGAAATTTTAATCTCATACATATGCTTTTCATCAACAAATACAAAATAACTGACTTTTTTTTTCGTATCATACAATTAGCAAAAGAAAAAAATTAAAATTGTTAAAATTTATATTTTGTTTAATCTTTTTTTTCTAATAAATAATTAATATGAAAACAGTAATTTTTGGATGATATTTTTAAATATTAAATCAATAATTTTCTTCCAGTAAATTTTGCTAAAATCCAAAATTAACTATAAAAATTTTTAATTATTTCCAAATGTTTTATAAAAAAAGGATCAAATGAAAGCATAAATTTAAAAAATATATATAAATTAAAATAAAAAAATAAAAAATAAAATAGAAAAAAAAACATGTAAATTAAGTTTCGTTCTATTATGGTTAATTTATGGTTAATTTATGACTAAAAAAAGAAATTTATGGTTAATTTATGACTAAAAAAAGAAAAGTTAATACATAGAATTAAATATTTGCTAAAATTCATTATATTCTTGTTTTTTTTTATTTTTTTGTTGACTTTAAAAAGTTTTCATAATTATAAATAATTTGTGATTTAAATTTCAAAAGGTAAAAGAATAAAAAAAATATCGATATGACGTAAAATGAAGAAATTATGTTACATTTTAATTGATAAAACTGAGCTTTTCAAAAATTTATATAAAATTATTTATTAATTAGAAGAAAAAAGAAATTAATCATCATTTTAGATTCGTTGAAAAAATTTTTTTAGAAATATATTTTATAGCCTTTATTTCCTCCTTTAAATTTGTATTGAAATTTGAAATTAAGTTAATGTTTTCGAATTTTTGTCAGGTACGACATGCTTTATCAAATACGGAAGATGTTATGCTTCAAGTAATGGATTCTGTATTAGTTTGTCTGATGCCAACAAATATTATGAATCGAATTTGTATGACAGATGACAAAATCATACCTTGTGAAAAGAATGTATAAACAATTGCACCAGAAAATTCTTAATTAAAATCATTGTTAAAATTTTTCAATTAACTACCATCATTTCATTTTTTACCTTTTAAACATTTCAAGTTAAAATTTCATGCAATAATTTTCATCATTTTTTTTGATATTATTATTTATATGATAATTGAATTTTGAAATTTCACAGATTTTGATTTCAATTTTATTTCTTGAAAAGATACAAAATTGAATAATGCATTAATTGTTGAACAAATATTTCATTATCCTACCATATTTGTAATTAAAGATATTTTTAATTTATTCCTTAAATTTTCAATTAATTTTTTTTTCAGCTCAAAATTTTTTAATATTTGTTTATTTTTCTGTTGACAATTTGACAATTCCAGCATTTTTGAATTTTGCAATGAACCATGAACGGCATTTTATCATTCTTTCCAATGTTTTTTTCCTTTTTTTTTCTTGAATCCAGCTATACTTTTTGAAATTATACCGAAATTTTTTATAATAATTAGTAATAATTAATTATTTCCTTTCGATGTAAATATCAAATATTATTTTCAATAAATTTAAAAGCTAACTGATATATGATTAATCGAACTGATGAAAGGATAATTTTTTTAAATTTTACGCTTGCTAAAAAATTTCAGAATATTTGAAATAATCTGAAGTGATTTTTTTTTTTGATTTTTTTTCTTTTTTTTACCGGATTACTTCCTGATTATAATTAATCGGTTTGCATGACAAATTTCGGGCCTACAAAACAAAATTGTTTACATGATCCTGATGATTTAATAAAGAATGAATGATTTTCTTCAATGATAGTAAATATAATAATAAAATCAATAATTTCTTGTTTTATTTTTCGATTCAGAAATTGTCGATCATCTTTCGATATGACAGTTAGTGAATTTAGTTTTACTAAATTGAGACAAATACAGGCTACTATTAGCCTATTTTGTAAACCGGAAAATCATATCGCAAGAGTTCGACTAATAGTTATCACAAAAAGATATTTAAAAAAAAGGATAATTTGAATAGAATAATCCTGAAAATGATCATTGTCTAATTATCATTGCTGGCTGATAAAATTTCATCTGAATGACTTAATTAATTAAACTGAAAATTCATGGTTTTGCAGAGAGTGAACTAATAAAAAGGAATGTTAAATATGTAAGAAACTTATGATTTTCAAACATAAAAAAATCAACAAAAAGATTATAAAATAATAATTTTTGCATTCAATTTGAAATTTGAAAAAGAAAAAATAAACTGAAGACATTTCTTCTTTTTTTTTTTTTTTAACAAAATTTATCACAAATTGTTCATTTCATTTCCATTTTTTTCTTTTCAATAATAAATTTGAAAATTTTTATCAATGAAATAATCAAATATCAGCAAAATAATTTCATCAAAATGAAATGCGCACATAATTTTTCATCTTATATATATATATATTTTTTTTTTTTGGCACATTCATAGTAGTATTAACCGGCTATAAATTCATGTTAACCTGTTTTCTCTTAAAGTTATCATAATTTTTCAAAAAAAAGTAAAGTTCTGTGGTAATTTTGAAATAATTGATTCAAATTGAATAAAAAAAGGAAAAAACGGATGAGAAAAATATTTAGGAAAAGAAGATAGGCAAATGAGATTAAATGATCCAAAAAAAAAATATATATAA